GATTAAATTCTAAAATATCACAAAATTCATGTGATAAACCCGAATTATTAAAACCGGTTCCAACCTCTAGTTTTGATAATTACTGAATTAAAATAATTACGATATAATTAAATTTAGAATTATAAAAACAAAAATTTGTTGCAGTAGTTCAACAATAATATTATCATATCAATACGATTAACGAATCAACTTTTACAAATTTATCGTAGTTCAAAAAAATTACTCTTGTTACACAACACTGACGGGCTTTAAATAATGTGAAAATTAATAAAAAATGCAAAAATAAGAATTTTATTATTTTGCGCATATGCGTTGTAACGCACCCTATAAGATCTGGTGTAACATGAAATAGAGGTTGGAACCGGTTTTAATAATTCGGGTTTATCACGTGAATTTTGTGATATTTTAGAATTTATAAACCCGAATTATTAAAACCGGTTCCAACCTCTAACATGAAATCAAAACAATAAAATTAATTCGTTGATTTAGGGGGTTAAATTAGGGTTAGGGCAGGGCGCTTTAATAAAGAGGTTCTAATCCAAAATTTCGAGAAGAATTTTTTTTGTTAGAGCACGAGAGATGGTTTCATAGGTAAAATTTCGTACTATAGCCGATTTTTGAAAAAAAATTCATAACTGCTTCGATTTCACGTTACACCTGATCCTGCATTCTAATTGGTTGATCAGGGGGTGGCGATACTATAATACTAAATTATTTTAATAAGTTTACATCGCTATTCTCGATTATAATGTTTCTTTATAAAAAAAAATTTAAAATACAAAATGCCGCTTTTCAAAAGACGTGACTTTGCAGATCACAATGTCGGAAATTAACTGATTTCTAATAAATATAAATATAACCGATCGAAATATGGATTAATTGAGAATCGAAAGTTCAACCGGGAAAAAATATCAAATTTTCAAACTAAAGTCACATTGCATTTAATGAAGCAAAAGATATTGCATTAGGAAATTTTAGATTCATATTTGCAGTCAAATTTTAAATAAGACAATTTTTTCTATTATAGCCTAATTTTAAGTTGTCACTAAGCATCATCATTTCTGAGGTCAAGAATTCTCGAGGTCACATCTGGAATAATATTAAATAAATTTATGAGATTTATTAAATATTAGACTAAATGGAGAAAATATGAGGTTCCATACCACCAATTATATTAGTCATTAATCGGCTTGTGTAAATGGCTCCAGGATGTGAAAATTGCAATTCTTTTATTCTTATATTATTGTTTTCTTCATTAATTTGGTCTTGAATTTCTTTAACAAGAATTTCTTCTTCATAACACTCATACCAACTTATAATCTGTTTATGTATTTCATTTGCAGTTGGTCGTTTGGCGGGATCGGTGTGCCAACATTTTGGCATTAGGTCTTGCAAGAACACCGGTGTGTCTTTTGTAATTTCTGGACGGAGTCCTCTGCATATATCTAATGCCAATGATGTGTTGTGATTCCTATCCGCAAAAGGTTTTCTTTCTGAACAAATTTCCCATATGATAATACCAAACGCGTAAACATCAGTTTTCTGGGAGTATGAACCACCACTTAATAGTTCTGGAGCCATATATGGCATAACTCCTAGGATATCCTTGATATTGTGTGCTTCTGAATTAATAATAGAAAGTCCGAGATCTGCGATAAAATATTCTTGTGCCGATAATATGTTTCCCGGATGAAGATCCCTTTTTTTTCAATAGTGGAATTAATTATATTAAGGTTTAACAAGAAGATAATAATGCATTTGTCATGCACTGAAGTTATAACGTCAGGTGCTTGTAGTTGCACTTGCCTAAATTCACCCACTAATGCATGCAAGAAGATCTAATTTCAATCAAGTGCAGCTTCAGGCACTTAGAGTTACAACTTCAGACGGGTGCCAACTTAAAGCTTGACATTCATTTACCTATGAATTAGTCCCGCTTGATGGATATTTTTCATGTCAACAGCAATATGTCTGACAATTAAAGCCTTTTTTTCCCAAGTAATTGTTTGATGCTGTAGTTGTTTACGTAGATCACCATCTTTGAAATAATAAAGAACGAGGAAATATTGGCCATCATCGTTAGCTGTGAATCCGTTTAAAAAATGAGTCCCGGGTGATTGATAGACCCATCGTTGTAGTCTCTTCGCCTAAAGTTCAAAAATCAGTAACTTGTATATTATTTCGATGTGCAATTCTATGACTAAAGTTGCTCCAAAAGTATTGTGTCAAAAGCGTTTTCAATAAATTAATCGTTCGAAAGTCAAAGCCAAAAATGCTTTGATAGATGTTTGAAAGTGAACCAAAATTCTTTCATACAAAAGTCGAAATTAAATTGCTTTAATAAACATTAGTAACATCTTTGAATTATGACATTAATTTCTTCATAAATCCTGAAAATAATTGACTATAAATTAATTGATGTTGTCGAGGTTAGTAACTTATCAGATTTAGCAAGATGAATGGTCATAATCAATTTTTCAGTTATTTCAGGATTTATGAATATAGTAAATCTTGTCCGAAAACGCTTTAGTATGCCTTCGGTTCAATAAATTCGAAAGTACGTACTTTCGGAGCTATGATTAAAATTGACTACCTCATTAAGGAAATCTTCTTTTAATTCAATCGTCTTTAACGCAACATATTCTTTATAGTCTGCATCACAACTTTTAAAGCGACACCACCTATTATTTTGGTAATCCCATTTTTCTATTCTTCCCACTTTTTTTTTTGCCAGAAAAACAGTTCCATAGCCGCCTTTACCAATTAATTCAATATTAGAGAATGTTTCCCACGGATACCATTCTAATACCAGATCATGTCTCCACGCATGAATTTGAGCATTCTGGATAAAAAAGTCGATTTCCTCATTTCCTGATGTCCATGTATGAAAAGCTTGTTCAAAATGCATGGAATAACAAGATTTACACCAATTAGAACTTGTGTATATTTCAGTGCACTTTGGACATCGACCGTATTTTTTAAGCCTTTCCTCCTCCGCGTATGATGTGTCACTGGGTTTCATTTCAATAAATACATCATTAATGAAATCTTGACGGGCCTTTTCCATAAATTTATAATAATAAAAATATTCGACAAAACTTTTTTTCTAGTTCTTTAACTTATGACCTGCTTTTAACACGCCAAATCTACTGTGTGTGTTACGTATAATAATACTAAAACAGAATTTGTGATCTTTCTGCATACAAAGTGTTTGTGATCCATTGCACATAAAATTTCCCTAAAAATTCTTATCAATAACAGAGTGGGACGAAATGTATGGTTATATAATTGCTATACGTACAGTTGCCTCCAAAGGACTAATCCATAAGGATCTTGAGAATTTCTTCCTTGAGCATAATTTCTATTAATACAGTCGCAGAATTACCAAATATAGAGGTCGTCTAAAGCGGAGATGAATCACGTGACGATCCCCGTGATTGGTCAAAAAATATAATTGGTCAAAAATTTTAAATAAAAAAAAATTTAATTATATAATTATTTTTATTTATTATTCGATATTACAATTATTTTTTAATTTCTACTGCCATTATTTAAAATAGCCTTTATTTCGCCCTTATAACAACCATTAAAAAAAGGGGAATTTACGGATAAGGGCCCAAAAACGAAAATAATTACACAAAATGAAAATAATTACAGATAGAGGCCTGATATTTTGAAAATTATGACAATTAGGGCCCAAAATAATTATGCGCTTAAGAATCTATGATTTAAGCCCTGTTCGATGATTTAATATAATCATGAATTGTTAACACATAAGAAATGTAATAACAATCTATTAGTAATTCGAATATAAATTCAAACGCACAATAAAAAAATGTTGTCAACCCAATATTTGCGTTGTAAATTTATTCCATAGAAATTCTTGATATATTTCTTAAAAAATCGGCTTATAACAAACACCATGTCAAATACCAAATTACAGATTGGTATACTAACATAAAAATGTCTATTCGGCCCTGGACAGTTATTCTGTCGAATTCTCTTCTCTTTATAAGTTCAGAACGAACAAATCAAATAGGTTGTTGGCTATTTGTTTTACAAATGAATCCAGTTCATACCTTTTACTATTTCAGCTAACAAGCGCAACTTTACAGAACATTAGATTTTTTGAAAAATATGTTTAAAAATATCTATTATATATTTATTATATAATATTACGTAAATTAAAATATAATAAACAAAATTACTATATAACGCCGCTGGTGATCATCACCAGTGATTTACAGGTGTAACGTATAAATCAAAGTAATTTTTTAAAACAAAAATTTAATTCTTTTAATATTAGGGTAAGGGTGGGGATATAATGTTGGGGTTAAGTAAAGGTTATAGTAAAATTTTGCAAGGAATTTTTTTTGTTAAGGGTTTCATAGATAAAATTTTAAGGGTAGGGTGTCCGTAGATCATTTTTCATATGATCTACATGGCAAATTAAAATTTACATAGGAAATCATGTGATTGACCAATCAAAATTGTCAAAACAATAAATTCAACTAATCAGAATTAGTTATTTTTGTGCGACCAAAGAAAATGATTTTTTATCAATATACAAAGTGAATTTTTTTAAAAGATATAGTGTTTATAATTTTACTGCTATAAATAAGAGATCCCAAATTAAATGTTGCAAAAATTTGGTGAATATTAGTTACAATTCTAAAAAGTTTTATTAGTGATGAATTTTGAAATCTATGTAAAATTTTAATTTGCTACGTAGATCATATGAAAAATGATCTATGGACACCTACCTTAAGATACAGTTAATTTTTGTTTTTATTATACAAAATTGATTTATACATTACATCTGATCTTGCAAATTAATTAGTTAATTGTCTAGAGCAAAATAACAAACTCATACTTTTATGCCTTTTGATGACTGAAATTATGTTTTTATTATATTTATAGTAGAAATATTAAAAACTAGTTTTGGTATTTTCTGGATGTAACACCTCTAAAAAATTTGATCTACAATATACAAAATAAGACTTTTCAGAGACTAAAATATTAAATTAAGCTTCAGACTTATATCAGTTTCCAGTTCTTAGTTATATTCTGATGATAATTACTAATAGCAATAAATAGCAAACTCCTATAATAAATATATATTAAATAGGAAAAATGTTTTTTGTGCATTTTGCATGCAGTATATCCTCTTAATTAGCTAACATTACAATATTTGTTACAGATTAAAATGAAATCCGATTAAAACGAAATTTTTCTGTTTTTTAAAGAAAATTTAAAATTTTTTAAGTGATATTTTTTGGGGTTCTTTTTAGTATTAGGAGTAGAGTTTAGGGTTAGGTTTAATAATAAATGAATATATATAGGTTTTATAGGCTCTAAAGGTGGACATGAGAGGTCCTCAGTTTCATTTTGATCAGATTTTATTTTAATCTGCAACAATGTTTATCAAAATATTTATTAAGTAATTAGTTTTTTTTCAGTATTAAGGTGAGGTCATAACTTTTATATCTTTATTAATTCTTAAGTTTATATACTACTATACTTCAGTTTTAGCTACTATCATATCATCCTTCCAAGCAAGTATTTTACAAGTTGAATGCAGAGATATTGGTACTGCCTCTAGGGTACTCCAACCAGAGAACTAATATATACAATCTTTGTATAATATAACCTTCTGTAATGCTGCTATTTATATATAGTATCTATACTTTATAATTTGGTTTCTTTTCAGAAACTCTTTATTTTAGTTTTGTGCTGCATTTGAACTTCTACAAGGCTTTGTATTCGATTTTATAATCTCTGTAGATTATAAAAGAAATTTTATTAAAATTTGACTCTAACCAAACTTGAACTATTGACCTAGTCTGTAGGGGTTTGGGTGCTTAACCACTAAGCTATGAGATCTAAACCTATTAAGCAATTAGTAAGTAGTTTATAAATATTTAACTTATATATATTTAATATAAGATAGGTTGAAATGTAATTAAAAGTACTTATTCAAAGTACTTATAAAATATTATAAAATATAAGTACTTAATAATAGGTGTTTTTAGACATCTCTTGCAGAAGATGTATTTTTGTATTTATTAACAAATAGCAAATCACAATTTAGTATAACATAACACAATCAGAAATTTTTAAAACAAACATTAGTTTTAAGAAAAAACTATCTATTTCTCAAAAAAACATATAAGAAATCTTCTTTTATACAATAACAAAAAGTTTTCTTTGAGGGTGTGATGACTTAGTGAAGTTGATAAGTTGTTGTACTCCCAAACGGCAGGACAAGAGTTTGAATCCCACTAGCGACAAAATTCAAATTTTATTGAATGTGTTATGATATACTGTGTGATATCCTGAAAGGTGATAGCACCTATAATCTTGGTCATACTAGCTTGTTTTGGAAGACTGTGTAATGCATAAGTTATGCAACCATGTAAATCTAAGGCTCAGACCCATGGCATACAGAAGCCCACTTGGCAAGTACTGAATAAAGAGGTAGCACAAATCTTCAATGGTACTATGTAAAGGATGATCATTAGCAATTGGACATCACAGTAAACTGGACGAGAACCAGGTGTTTGGCAAGACACTAATACCAACCAGGCCATGAGTATATGAGAATATACTCTTGTATAAATGAGGAAAAGGATTTAATCAGAATATCAAGAGGATGCCTACTAGTTCCTCCTTGGGCTATTTAGATTGGGAGTTTGGATGCTGTTGATGAAGGAAAGTCAGTGTAAGTCTGTAAAGTGTGTGTTGGAGTTTAGGTGAACTTTGCAAGGGCACAAAGTAGGTGACGGTAGCAGAGGTAAAAAGCCGCAAGTACTTGGCTGCAGACTAGATGTAAGTTATTAAAAATCTAGGTAATATATATGTAGAACAGTGACTGTTCTAATAGGTTTACCATGAAGATAAAGTAGTCCTAAGGGGCCTTTGCAGCAGTTTCTCTTTAAGGAGAATATCCGACAGTGCTAAGTTGATCAGAGGGTTTAATTGGATAATTCAAATAATAGTAGATTATAGATATAGCATCTAATGTAGTATTTAGTAATAGGGAACTACTTAATTAGGCACTCAAAAGGTGCAGATATAGCTAGAATGTATTCTCATTAATGTAACAAAGTCAGGAGTGGCTCTTGTGGCTACCCTAGCATTCGATCCAAAGTTTAATAAAACATGCCAAACCTCAAAGTGGTCATCTTAATATTAAAAAAAAAAAAAATTTTTTTTGAAAAATTTACATATATTTCTTACATTTCTAACTCTAAACTAAGTGTTATTTTAATATAAATAAACTTTAAAGAATTTTGAAAGATATATATCCTACAGAAGATGCTTATAATTTCTCTTAATAAATATAAAATTTAATATTAATTAAGTACTTAAATTTTAATTGCTTTAAAAATATAAATATAAATATTTATTTAATATTGCTATTTAATTAGTATAAGGTTTCATTTAAACCAACATCCTAATGAATCAGATTTTAGAGGTTGTTATTTTTTTAATTTAAATGTAATATAATACAAAACTTTTTATTTTAATTAGCTAATTAGAAGGAATACATTGCTGTACAAGTATATAAAAAACTGAACCCTATTAAATAATATTTATATTGTAATAATATATTTATAATATAGTTAAATATAATTTATATATAATTTAATATTAAAATATTTTTTAATAATCTAATATGAGAACTTTTGCTTATTATATAAATATAGCCTCTTTCAGAGTTAGTCATTTGACAATTACAAGTTTTAAAGTAATCATAACATAAACTCTATATAATTGATTATTTTAGAGCTTGCAATTGTCAAATGATTGATTATTTTAGAACTTGTAATTGTCAAATAACTAATTCTGGAGAAGGCTATTTTTATATAATAAGTAGAAACTCTCTAAAAATATAATAAAATAAAAAATAATATATTAATTATATATTAATAATATAATAAAAATAATAAAATAATATTTTAAATATTTTAGTTTAGTTTTAAATTTTATTATATGTGGTGAGTCAATAGAAATCAAGCAAATTGTTTTTATTAAATTTTTTAAAACTTTATATATTAATAACTT